TCTTCTACAATCTTCCTTATTTACTGTCCAACTTTCACATGCATATGAGGTGATTAAAAATGCCATGGCTTGGGTCAGGTACACCTTAGTACTCAAACTGACACTTTTGTTCTTAAATACTTTAGAAAGGTCTTTTGCAGCAGATTTTCCTAATTCAGTATATCCTTTGACCTGGAAGATTATAGCCACTATGGAATGCAGTTCCATTCAGACACCCATGGGCTCACCATGCATTCAAATCAATTTGACTACTCACTGAAGGGTTGGCAGCTCAAATCCATCCAGAAGCACCTTGGAAGAAAAGTCTGGTGATCTACTCTGAGAACATGATAGTCATTCAAAATCCTATAGAGCACAGTTCTATTTTGAAACACACAGAGTCATCATGAGCCCGAATCAATTTGATAGCAACCAGTTGTTGGTTTAGGGGGGAGGAGTCAGCTATTGAAGGCGCGCCTGTATTCCTCAGAGTCAAAGGATATAGAAAAATGTCAGGCCTCACGAAAGGAAGCACCACCACCTGCCCTTTCTAATCCAATCAAGTGTGCTGCGTAGTCATAATTCTAGAGTGCTTCATAGTTTAGGAAGCACTTGCTCCAACCAACAGCTACACAGGTTTTCGCTTCTTTTTTCTCATAAGCGTTGATGCAAAACTTGTCTAAAAGATAAATGTTAAACTCCAAATCCTAATTTCACAGTTTCCTTCACAAAATACTTTTGGACCTTGCCCTTATGAAAGCCCTCCTCACAGGCGTTTAAGAGTCAGTAATACAAGGAGGCTCCCAAAAGCTTGTGGAAAACGAAATGTAAAGATAATGGAACTTTCCCATGAATGTTTGAAACCCCTCATACCTGTTCTCTGTATCACAAACATGCCTTGTCTCCTCAACTAGATGGTATCCCTCTATGCCCTAGAGGCTATAACTAGATCCTATGTGCTGCCCTGGTTCTAGCCTCTATAATCCAGTTATAGCCTCTCGGGCATAGAGCTCTGGTAGTGTAGTAGTTACGAGTCAGGCTGCTAACCTCACGGTCAGCAATTTGAAACTTACCAGGGGTTCTGTGGGAGAAAGATGAGGCTTTCTGCTCCCATGGAGATTTACAGCCTTGGAAATCCTGTACAGGATCACTATGAGTCGGAACTGACTCCATGGCACATAACCACCACCACCGCTATGCCCTAGTCATTTTTTAGGTAAGCAATAAATACTTGTCAGTACAGAAAGTAAACTTACAACAAGCAGCACATACAAAGGGCAGATATCACCTCTAAAGTGGAAACCACCAGGCCTTTTGTCTTAGGCTGGAAGCTCCACTGAAACCTGGCCAGGAGTTAAACCCAGTCTCAAGTCCAGCCGTGGAATTCTTGCCTCCCAAGAGGTGCACTGGTCAAGGGGCAAACCCAGTCTCCCACATGTTGTTGTTGTTGTTAAATGCCATTGAGTCGGTTCCGACTCACAGTGACCCTGTACAGGGTTTCCAAGGCTGTAAATCTTTACGGGAGCAGAAAGCCTCATCTTTCTCCCACGAAGCAGCTGGTAGTTTCGAACTGCTGACCTTGCAGTTCACAGCCCGATTATTCAACCACTGAAGGTTTGCTGCCCCAAATGAATGAGGAAGAAAGGCCTGGTGATCTACTTCCAAAAACCCAATCAAGGAAATCTTTAGGGACCCTAATGGTCCAAACTGAGCCCTTTCAGAGAGCATGGCATGTGTTACCCACCTGCATCACACCCAGGGGCCCCAAGTCAGCCACATTGTCATTGTTGTTGCTCACAAGTAGATTCCGACTCATAACCACCCCATGTGTGCATAGGATAACTGTGCTCCACAGGGTTTTCAAGCCTGTGACCTTCTGGAAGAAGATCATCAAGCCTATCATCTGCGACTCCTCGGAGTAGGTCTGCTCTGCTAACTTTTGGTTCAGTTGAGCACTTAACTAACTGCGCCATCCAGGAACTGCTGAATTAGCCATGTAATTGCTGAGTGCCATCGAGTTACTTTTGGAGTCACAGAGATTCCCCTACCCACTGACCCAATGCTATCGAGTCGATTTTGACTCTCAGAGACCACCACAGGACTCTGTTTCTTAGAGTTTCTGAGACACTCCATCTTCATGGAAGCAAACAACCTCATCTTTCTCTCAAGGATTGGTTGGTGGTTTTGAACCATTAGCAGCTCAAAGCTTAACCCACTATGACACCAGGGCTCCTTAGAAACCCCATACTCAAAAAAAAATCTCAAACTTAACTGCCAATGCATCAATTTTGACACACAATTTATGGGGTTCCCAAGGCTGCAAATCCTTATGGGTAGGGCTAACCTCATTGTTCTCTTGAGGAGTGGCTGGTGGGTTAGAACTGCTGACCTTGTCATTAATAATCCAGTGTTTATTCCACAGCACTATCAGGACTTCTTAGAGACCCCATACTGGTGGTGTTGTTACTGTGTGCCGTCAAGTTGGTTCTGACTCATAGCATTCCTGTATAGGGTCTCTGAGGTAGGTCTGAAAGTCCAACCTTGTGGTTATCAGTACGGTGATTATCCTATAGGCAACACCAGGAATCCTAGAGACCGCATGTTATTGTCAAGTGCTATTGCGTCGGTTTCAAGCCATAGCAACCCTGTATAGGGTCTCTGAGGTGGGTCTGAAAGTTCAACCTTGTGGTTAGAAGTACAGTGATTATCCTATAGGCAACACCAGGAATCCTAGAGACCACATGTTGTTGTTAAGTGCTATTGCGACGGTTTCGAGCCATAGCAACCCTGTATAGGGTTTCCGAGGAGCGGCTGGTGAGCTTGAACCATGACCTTGAAGTTCAAACAGACTTTGCAGTCTGACGCATTAGCCCACAGCGCCACACCAGGGTTAGTGTCGGCTAAACCAAAAACCCAAACCCACTCCCATCAAGTCATTTCCTACTACAGGACCGAGGAGAACTGACGCACAGGGTTTCTGAGGCTGTGAATCTTTACAGAAGCAGACTGCGGCATCTTTCTCCCACGAAGCCACTGTTGGGTTAGAACAGCTGACCTTTCAGCTAGCAGCCCAATGCTTAATCCACTGCACCAGCAGGGTTCCTGTAGGGGAAACCGTGGTGAGAGGTGAGGCCTCCCTGCATCTGACAGAGCCCAGCCAGAGTCTGCAGGCTGAACACCAGGATCCGATCCCATGCACCGTGGCTGGGACACACACTCAGGGTTGTCCTAGTTCAAGTGAAGAGAAGAGACTAACCCAGTCGGGTCACTGGAAAGAGCCTGGAGAAGCGCTCCGAGGTGACTTGGGAAATAAATTATTGGCAACAGGTCATTTCTGACCCTGGGGAGGGTATTAGGAGGGTATCCAAAAGGCAAGGCCGGCCAGGAGCATTGGGAAAGAAGTGAGTGCAGGGAGGGATGGCCGCAGCTGGCCTCTGAGAGCTTAGAGGGTCAGTGGAGAGCAGGGCCAGGCTGGCCGGGAGGATGGGAATGAGCCTGGCAGCGCTGTGACCGTGACTGTGACCGAGACCAAGAAGGCTGAGTCACGGGCTCACACAGATCCTGTACCAGCTGGAGGAAAGGCTGCACTCAGTGTCTCCTCAGGGCAGGGCAGGGGCAAACACCGCTCCCAGGGGACAGGCCGGCTAGGAGGAGGCCTGGGTGCTGATGGAGCCTTTTCTGCTCCCTCTTGAGAAAAGTCCATCCATCTGGGCAGCACCAGACAGACACAACTGCCCGCGAAAGATGGAGAGGAGTCCTAAAGAGACGGAGAGCAGAGGAGGAGAAAACAGGCTCCCTCCTCTGCCTCCCAGCCTGCCAAGGGGCCGGGGGCCCAGAGAAAAAACTATCTGTACTGACTCCCTTTCCAACTCAAAGCCCACGTCTATTTTTCACTTCATTTCACAAGATGGGAACATGATGTCATTTCTTCTGTGGCTACTCACATGTTAGCAAACACAAGCTACTGCCAATTCACCAAAATGGTATTCCTTGGGGTCAGTGGGCCATAGGGGCGCCAGCCCCACCCAAGGCGTGACCAGGGCCTGTCAGTGTAACTTCCACCCACTCCCGACTCAGGGTGAACTATGTGTGCTCAGTAGAACTGCGCTCCATAGGGTATTCCAGCCTGCGATCTTTTGGCAACAGAACACCAGGTCTTTCTGGGTGGGTTCAAACTGCCAACCTTGGCTTAATAGGTGAATGCTTTACTCTGTGCATGACCAGGGACTCCTCTATACAGGATAATTTTACCCTAATTCAGCAGGTTCTTCATTGTGGCAACTGCCAACGTATCCATATTAACGTTTCAAAAACTGTTCAACAGACGAGGTTGCCCAGTTTCCAAAATAAAATCACCCAAGGAGCATACACAGACTGCTTTCTTCAGTTTGTAATAAATTCCATGTGTAAGCAGTAAAGACGTGGGAGTGGCTCCTGTAATTAAACCAAGTCCTGGTTTTGAAAATGTATATGTTTTCCAGACTGTTCTTTCGGTTGACTATAAAAAGCTCCTGTCAATATTTGAATTGCTGAACTGAACCATGGTTATGAGACAGTGACCTTAAAGGACACCACTTTCCAGGCCAGGCAGGGTTAACAAGCTGCCTGGGGAAAACACTGAGATTTTTATATACTTGAAGAAGGCATCTGATTACCCTGGGGCTTTTAAAATGAAGTTTCAGTAGTAAATTTTGACTGTTAAACCCAAAGATGGAGAGCGATGTGGCTCTCTGTAGGATAAGCACTGGAGAGCTGAACTTAAGGTCGGCAGTTGGAGCTGCTTTGAGGGAGAAAGTTGAGGCTTTCTGTCCCCATAAAGTTTTACGGTCTCAGAAACCCTGTACAGAGCTGCTGAGTCAGAATCGACTTGACAACACACAGCAACAACAAAACCTAAAGGCAGATCACTACATACCACATACTACATACCACATACTACATACCACATACTACATCTCTTCAGCTTTTCCAAGGGAGTGACACTCTTCCATTTCAGTTTCACATCCAGAGCACTGACTTACCGAGGTCAATGAGAATCGCATGCTGCTGTGAGGTGAGCTGTTTTAAGAGTTCTTTGTATGGCGTATCCTTTGGCTGCTGCTTGCTGGGAAACTGATGTCTCAGGTGGTATTGCTCTGCTAGGAATTTCCAGATTTCACCTCGGTGATGACGTGGCACGCCTTTAAAAAGGGAAACAGAAAACAGGAAGGGTGACTCGAGGCACAGAAAGGAGTCCCCGGGTGCTGTAAATGGTCAACACACTTGGCTGCTACCTGGAAGGTTGGTGGTTTGATCCTCCCAGAAGTGCCTAGGAAGAAAGGCCTGGCAATCTACTTCTGAAAAGTCAGCCACTGAAAACCCTACGGAGCCAGTCCTGCTCTGAAACACACGGGGTCAGCATGAGTCAGACTTGACTTGACTGCAAGTATTACTGATATGTATAGAATGCAGTGTATTTATAAAATCCAACTTCACAGAAATCCATGGATCCAAATCCATGCTGCACTATGAATTAACAGCACAGGAATGAGAAAGATGCCACCAAAAAGCGGCTCTATTTGCTCTCTTCCTTCCCTGTTTCCTCCCTACCGCCATCTTGCCTAACTTGCCCTACCCCCTTTCCACTTCTCTTTCATCTTTCAAGTGTATACAACGTTCTGTGTTAGACTCGGCAAGGAATAAACCAACAAATAACACACAAGCACCCAGGTTGTGCCAAATGATAATGTTCTTGGGAAATAAGATGGAGCATGAAAACCTGTATTTAAAGCTAACTGTGATGACTGCCCCAAGGGGGGCATAATCAGACTGAGGGAGAGTTCAGACGAATGACAGCTAGCTCATTTCTAACAAGGCCACTGAGAAGGTTTCAAGGAATCCTTCATTTAGGACGGGGGAGGGGGAGACAGAAGACAAACCAGAGAAAGGGGACTGGCAGCATGTCCATTTGCCTCAAGCACAGGGCATACGTGGGAGGGAGCATACCAAGGGGGCTGGCGTGGTTTGCTATAAGCAAGACTGAAGACAAGAAGAATGCATTTTATTTGATAGCTGTAGGAACATGAGACGTTCCTGAGCTGGGAAGGGAGTGGCCTCATCACAGGGGGCATTCTGGAATGTCATTAGACTGCCTCCTTCGGGATGGGCTGATCAGACGGCCCACAGACCGAACAGCAGCCTCTGTATAAACATGCCACAGTGAGACCCTCAAATGCGAAAAACGGTGCAAGAGTCTCTACCTAATGTTTGAGTACTAGAAGGCATTAAAACAGTTGTATAATACTAAGAAAAATTCTCTTAAGTCAAAAAGGACGGATTTGAACCAAAATTCTTTTGTTCATTCTTCAGTTGTTATAAGGCTCGGAAGTGGAAATGGAGAAGGACAACCATACAATAAGACACACAGACACTCTCCCCTCTGATAGGAAGACGTTCCCTTGGCAGAAGAGAAACCTCGGAATTACAGACTAGTGTCTCTTACCAGCCTGAGGGTGCACCCCTGCTCAAGAAGACAGGTTTTCTAGCTTCCCACAGGCCTCCTCGAGAGAAGTTTCTATACTGGCAAGATAACAACAGTAGAGCTAACATCTCCTGAGAGCCCACTGGATACCAGGCACAATTCCAAGACGTATCCTCCTCCTCCTCATAACCTCCGCAAGCAGATACTACAATTACCCTCACAGTAAAGATGACCGAGCACTCAGGGTCATCTGGGGCGCTCTGGTTAGCCAAAGCCTGGGGAAACGCCTTTACTCTGCTCTTGATAGAGCCAAAGCCTGGGGAAACGCCTTTACTCTGCTCTTGATAGCACCTTGTCATACAATGTAGCTATTCACAGGGGCACAAAGGCATCGAATAATCCCCCCTCACAATCAAGAAGAAAATGGTCACTTGAGGATTTGAAGCAAGCAGCATTCACAAATTACCAGACCCATAAGAAACTATTTAGAAAGTGCAGCCACCTACCTCTTGGAAATGTGATAGGTGTTAATAAGGACCTGTTCCTCCCTTAACATTTATCAGGTTTTGTCTGTGTGTTTGTTTTAAAAAAGCCTGTAGGGCTCACTTCAGCAGCACATATACTAAAATTAGAACGACACAGAGAAGATTAGCATGGCCTCTGTGCAAGAATGACACGCAAATTTGTGAAGTGTTCCTTATTCTTAAGGACACAGCCACAGAGGGCTAGAGCTGAGAGTGAAGCATCCAGCTGATATGAAGTGAGGGGAGACGCACAAGAACACCCAAAACTTGCAGATAGTACTCATCTGACCTAGCCTCGATGGCTTGATAATCAGAACTCGACTAGAGGAAGATAATAAATAAATAAATAACACTTTTTGATAAAGGAAATTTGATGAACTTGACCTATACTCACGGAGGTGGTAGCCATAAATACCAACAAAGGGAAGGAGTGCTCACATCAAGCATCAGTGCTATGCCTCCCTCTGTGCACAGGGTAGATAGGGACAGGTAACTTAAGACGGTGGCTACCTAAAATGTGGGGATGATACAGGCACGAAGTGACTGGCTTATGAGGTTCAAGAGGGAGTTTAGTTTAAGAGTGTGATGGGGGAAGAAAGAGTCCCCACTGAATAGCTATCATCTTGTCTAGATGGGCCTGGTAAAAAAGAGATGGGGATAAGATTCTTAGGATTCAACAGTGACTAACTGTTACCATTACTGCAAGTCACAACTGTAAAGGTAGAAGTTTTGTAACAGAAACGGGGGAGTAGTCAATCTTCCAGTCCAGAAACAGAGGACCCTAGGACCATCAAGGGAGAAGAGCACAAGTGGAATGTGGGACCTTATCCAGAGAAGCAGCGACACCAGAGATGGAGGCAGAACGGGGGACATGGAGAGAGGGAACAGCTGAGGACTCTAGATTCATGGGAAGAGAGGGACTAAGAGCTGGCAGCCAGGAGGCAGACTTACAGAATGTGCCCTTTGGTGGTGTAAATTATTATATATGACTGAGTGGTCAATAAAAAAAAGAGCTAAAGTGAATAGAGAGAAATACTGGTAACTGATGGTACATGAAGGGGATTATAATCATTGCAATGAAACAAGATATATGATTTGTTGAATGTAAAACTGATTATCTGCCCTGTAAACTTTCACTCAATTCACAATAAAAACATCTGAAAAAACAACAAAAAAAGCCTGTGGAAAGAGATATAGGACCACACTCAACCCTAAGCATACCCCACACCTTCTCTAAATGTTCATGCACAGTAGCCTGAAAGGTGAGCCTCAAAAAGATACGTTCGCGTTCTATAACCTGTAATGTGAGACTTTATTTCTTAACAAGGTCTTTGCAGATTCAAAAAAAAAAGATAACCCTGGACCAATGACTGGAGTCCTTACAGACAGAGAAGATGGCAAGAGTTGGGAAAGAACGTGACCGCAAAGGCAGAGACTGGAATAATGCAACCACAAGCAAAGGCATGCCGATAGTCTCTGAAAGCTGGGAGGCCAGAAACAGATTCATCCCCTACAGTCTTTGGTCGGAGCAGGGCCCTGCTGACACTTTGATTTCAGGCTTCCTGCCTCAAGAACTGTGAGAGATTAAAAGAAAATTACTGCTCAGTTTGTGGTGATTTATTACAACAGACACAAGAAATAAATATACCCCTGGTTTTTAATATTATTCTATCCCTTCTCTCTCTCTCTCTCTACTATTCATGCTCAGAGCCTAGAGGGGGATTTAACAGTTTGTGGAAAGATTCCATTATCTTTTCATTCCATTTCCCATGAACTTTTCTGAAACCCCCTTCAGTATGGTGGTGGTGATGTGCCGTGGAGTCAGAACCGACTCATAGCCATTCTGTACAGGGTTTTCTGAGGCTGTAAATCTTTACAGGAACAGAAAGCCTCATCTTTCTCCTGTGGAACAGCTGGTAGTTTAGAACTGCTGACCTTAAGGTTTGCAGCTTGATTCGTAACCACTACACTACCAGAGCACTCTCTTGCTCTCTATAATAATAATATATATATATATATATAAAGGAGCTCTGTTAGCATAGTGGTTACGAATCAAGCTGCCAATCTCATGGTCAGCAGTTCAAAACTACCAGCTGCTCCGTGGGAGAAAGACGAGGCTTTCTGCTCTCATAAAGATTTACAGCCTCAGAAACCCTGTGCAGGGTCGCTATGAGTCAAAACCGACTCAACGGCACATAATAACAACAACAAATATATATATATATATACCTGCATGTCAAAAGAAACAAAGAAAATCAGAGATTTAGTAAACAATAACACAAGAGAAATTACACACACACACACACACACACAGACACACACCCTCAATTGCTTCATCTTAATCCTTCAAACCCTGATTAGAACTATAGGTCGGCTGAGAAACAGTCAGCATGTTAAGTGATTTATAGTGGGGCTTTTCAAAAAACTTATTTTTCTCAAAAACTGGAAAGGTTTCCCAAATCATGAGATTTTCAATTCCCTCTTATTACTAAATAATTCCTATGACTTATCAGACTTCTATTTTTTTGGAGGAAAGGAATATTGGCTGTCTCACTGGACAGTAACGCACATTCTGGTAAGTAAGAGTGAGCTTGGATTTTGAGATTTAAAGGCAAACAGTCATTTCAATTAGAGCCTGTGTCTTTACAAAGAAAAGTCTGGAACATCCTCTCCAGCAGCCTCTATGCCTTCACTCTAACCCAAGGGAGAAAGTTAGCTGCCAAGTCCTTGCTCAGGGCCTGCGGGCAGGGTTCTAGGTGGGCAGCACACCATATTGCCACAAAACATAAGTAACACTTTTATTTTTACTGATTTTAAAAGTATTTCAATAGTGCATGCTCACTATTAAAAACCAAACAAACAACAAGTTGTGAATGCAAAAGGCATACAGAAGAAAGTGAAAACTCACCCAAAATTAGAGTGGACATATAACTTAGCATCCATAGTGGGAGGCTTTGGGAAGTGAAAGGAAGAAGTGTTATGCCAGAAAAGCAAGATGTACGGTCACCTGCCTATAAGCCACATATCTGTGAACACTTTGCGGGTAGTTTTCAAGACATACACATACAGAAACATACACCTGCATGCTCGGCAAAGTAGAGGGCGAATGAAGATGAGAGAAACCTTTAATGAGGTGGACAGGAACAAGAGCCCCAACAGTGGACCCAAACATGCCACTGCTCATACAGATAGCACAGGACTGTCTTTATGGACAATGCTTCATTCTGGTGGACATAAATAAGGTCACTGTGAGTTGGAGCCATTCGATGGCAGTTAGCAACTAACCACAAAACGTAAGGCCATGTTGGAATTTTTTTCTTTCTTACAGATTTATCTCAGGCATATAACAAATGGATGGTGATATGGGTTTCCAGGGGTGGGTGGCCTATTAAACAATGCCACAATAAACATTCTTCCATGGCAGTACATCTTAACAGATCCATTTCCAGAACAAATTCCTATAAATAGCATTGCTGGGTCAAAGGTAAACAGAGTCCACATTTGGCTCAAAGTGCCAACTGCCCAGGTGGTCACTTTCCTAGAAAAGTACATCTTGGCTTATTAGAATCTACATGATATCTTCAGAGAAATCATTTAGACCCAAAATGAAACATCGAATGAGTTGAAATGCCAAAGAATGAGTATTCCCTCTCTCCAAGTTGATTCCCCATCCTGACACTCTGACCCAATTTTAATTAGAAATGTTTTATAAATCTCTTCATTTAACTGTCATGTTGTTGTTGTTGTTGTTGTTGTTAGGTGCCATTGTGTCGGTACCAACCTATAGCAACCTTATGCACAGCAAAACAAAACAATCGGGCCAACCTCACAATTGTTGTCACACTCGAGCCCATTGATGCTGCCACTTTCCCAATCCATCTCACTAGGGGTCTTCCTCTTTTGATATCCTTCTTCAGTGACTGGTCCCTCCTGACAATATGTCCGAAGTATGAGAAACGAAGTTTGGCCATCTTGGCCTCCAAGTAGCACTCTGGCTGCATTTGTTCCAACACAGATCTCTTGGTTCCTTTGGCAGCCCATGGCACTTTCAATAGTCTCCTCCAACACCATAATTCAAAATCATCAATTCTTTTACGGTCTTCCTCATTCACTGTCCAGCTTTTGCATGCATATGAGGTTACTGAAAAATACATGGATTGGGTCAGGCGCACCTTCGTCCTCAAACTGACATCTTTGCTCTTCAACACTTTAAAAAGGTCTTGTGCAGCAGATTTACCTAAAGCCATATGTCGTTTGATTTCTTGACTGCTGCTTCCATGAGTGTTGATAGTTGATCCAAGAAGAATGAAGTCCTTGACAACTTCAATCTTTTCTCTGTTGATAAGAATGTTGTTCATTGGTCCAGTGGTGAGGAGTTTTGTTTTCTTGACATTGAGATGCAATGCATACCGAAGGCTGTGCTCTTTGATCTTCATCAGTAAATATTTCAAGTCCTCTTCACTTTCAGCAAGCAAGGCTGTGTCATCTGCATATCAATTAATGAGTCTCCTCTAATCCTGATGCCATGTTTTTCTTCATAGAACCCAGCTTCTCGGATTATTTGCTCAGCATACAGGTTGAATAAGTATGGTGAAAGAATACAACCCTGTCGCACACCTTTCTTAATTTTATACCATTCAACTGCCTCTTGGTCCATGTATGTGTAGGGGTTGTTAAGTGCTCGGTTGCAGGGTTAATGGTCAGTGGTTGGAACATTCTAGCAACTCTGTGGAAGAAAAGACCCAGCAACCTGCTCCCTTAAAGAGCTCAGCCTAGGAAGCACTATGGGCCTGTTCTACTCTGTGTTCATGGTCACTATGCATCGTATAGACTCTATAACACACAACAACAACAGATCATTACAAGGCCAGGCCTCACAAGGACTGTCCTCTTTCAAGGTCTCTGACGTACTTGACCTCCATCTGAAACATCAAAGTTTTGGTGCTGATTTAGTCTCATTTTCTCTTCTGCTCTACAAGGTGAACGAAGGTCATTTGTTGTTGTTGCTAAGTGCCGTCGAGTCAGTTCCAACTCATCTTTGCAGGAGCAGAAAACGTCATCTTTCTTCCACTTGGCAGCTGGTGAACTCGAACCGCTGATTTGGTGGGTTTCTTATCCTGTAGAGCACCATGCTCCAAAGCCAAAAATCTCATGTGTTGAAAACACCTGAGTAGTTGACAAAGCCCCCATCTACAGCTGTAGGTACGCTGTTCTCTGCAGTAGAAGGTGTGTGAAATTTCAGGGGACACATGAGGAATCCCTGGTGAGCCACCATCTGATCCACCTTCACTGCACAGACTGCAGGGTCCTAGAGCATTTCCATCAGTGTCCCTCGAGAGGTGCCTGGTGACACCCTATGAACTATGAACTCAGGCACTAGGCTAAGACACTCAGACTTGGGAACAGCTGTCACAGACTATCTTGAAGACCATCACCTAGTCAAACGACAGAGGGAAAAAGCAAACTCCTTCTTTTTTCTGCTTTCTTCCCTTTTCACATCAGCAGTCTGGGGCGACGTGGTGTACGGGTCAGCAGGATCAGAAGAAGCCCTCCTGATACTCTGACTTCACACTTCTGGCCTCTAAAAACTAAGAAAGAAATCTTTTTTTTTTTTTTTTCCTGCTTTTATAAGCCATCAAACTTACCATTATGGGTGTAAGGGTCACACCTCCGGCCACCTGTACAGATATAAAGACTGTCACGAGTGGGAGACTGTGCTCCAAGGGGCTCTGCTCCAGCCCCTCACTGTACAAGTGAAGAGACAGGAGCCAAGAAGGTGAGGGGGACTGTCAAAGGTCACATACCAGAAGCTTCTGGTGACGCAGACTTCTTGCCAGTAGCAGACATTTCCGTCTCTGAGAACAACACCTTGTTTAGCTGAGATTCAATGGGAGGCAGTATCATAGAATGGCTAAGACTGGGCTGTGGGCTCAGTTCTGTGGCTCTGGGGGCCCTTACTCAATTGTTCTAAGTCCGAATTTCCTTATTCATGAAAAGGGAACAGTTAAAGTCTAAGTAATGTTGTTGTTGTTAAGTGCCATTGAGCTTAATCCAATGCTGTTCCAACTCATAGGAGACCTTGTTTCTCCTCTGTTGTCTAGGGTCACGCTGAGTTGGAACTGACTCGGTGACAGTGGGTAGGTGTTGCAAACAGTTTGGTGGTCTGCTAACCTAAAGGTAGACACTGCATTCAAACACACTCAGAAAAACTGCAGAACAAGCCTGAGGATCTGCTTCCATTAACATGACAGCCAAGCAAACCCTATGGAAGAGTTCCACTCTATAGTATCATACCTGGGGCTCCCAGGAGACAGAAGTAACCCAAAGGTAACTAGCAACAGTAATATTCAAACGGAAACTGTCAGAATGCAGAAGAAAATGTTAATGCATGCCCAATAGATACAGGGGCAAACACTGCCTTGCTCCTTTTATTCTCTTAAACATGAAAATGGCTCTACCACTTGGTAGCTGATAAAAGTCAGAAGAAAAACGTGGGACGTATACAGTTTTGCAACTCATTCTAAACACCTGACTATTCAGGACTACATCAGCCAGGACTCAGAAGTGCTAATATTAGAACTGAATCATGAGGCTTCCACTCTTGCCAGGAAACTGGACATACATTTTTAAAGAAATTGTTTTTGCTTTACTTGAACATCAATTATCACTAGAGCTCTAAAACAGTGCTTCTCAAACTATCTGTCCTTTTCTCTGTAAGTTTTCCAACCCACCAAAGACTGATATTTTAACATAATACATTATAAAACAAAATCATAAAAAAGAGAAATGAGAACCCTGATCAAAAACCCCGGCACACTTCTCCTAAGGATCATGAGGCTGAATTGCTGAAACCGTTTCCAAATGCTTACTCTCTGTTTCTGTACTTATCTCAGATCAGTAAGAGTTTGGACAACAGTCAGCGGGCCACATTTAAAAATAGTTAATACTGTCTGCTTTCCAAGGCCTTACAGGGAACTAGATACAAGCTGCATGCTACAGAGTATTCACTTGCTTTCTCTTCACAGCTACCAGGAGGGAGGCAGCAATGACAACACACATGTGCAAAGTGGGGCTCAGAGAGGTTGGGTCACTGCCCAAGATCACACAGCAAAGGAAGTGACAAGAGCTGTGATCCAAATCTGAGACTACCTGTGTGAAGTCTGTGCTTTACTCAGACCCATTGCTATCAAATCAATTCCAAATCACAAAGACAGAGCAGACCTGACTCAGATGGTTCTCAAGGCTGTTAATCACTACAAAAGCAGGTTGCCACACCTTTCTCTCACCAACTTTTCAGTTGTTGGTGTTAAGTTCTGACGCATAGCGACGCTCTATAGGGTTTTCCAGGAGCAGCTGGAGCATTTGAACTGCAGACCTTGCAGTTCAAACCTATCTTGTGATCCAGTACTTATCCTACAGCACCACACCAGGATTCCTAGCCATTTGGTTAGCAGCCGAAATGGCTAAAGCACTGAGCTGGTAACTGAAAGGTTGGTGGTTTGAACCCATCAGATGCTCGGTGGTAGAAAAGACCTAGTGATCTGCCCCTATACAGATTTCAGTCTAGGAGACCATATGAGGCAGCTCTATTATGTCCTGTGGGGTTGTTAGGAGTTGGAATCGACTCAACAGCACACAACAACAATAAATTATACAAAGAAAATCCACATAAGAAGTTTTACGTTTACTATTGAACTCAGGGCCTATTATCATTATCATATGACCAGTATGATCCAGTATGGAGGCAGAGGTTTTCCCTCTGCTTCCTGGTCTCCTGAGCATTTTCATTCTGTTAGGAAACTCTGAAAGGGATGAGGGGCACCTCAGTTATTGTATCTGGAAATCACTTAGGCAAACAGGACTGGAGACAGTCACTAAACTTAGACTAAAATTCTGGTGAATTTTTAAATTCCATGCTTCTGCCGAAAACCAGTGAGGGATGGGGTTGCTTAGATTGACCCCAGTGAAGCTTACCTTGACCAACAGCTGAATGCATTTTTTCCATATCGAACTTAATTTTGGCTCTTCCTGGAGTGCTTAGCATCTTTTCCCACACCATAGTTACTTCTTTAAGACAAGGAGTGATTTCTTCATAATCCAGCTTCAGGCGCTTGTTCAGCAAATCATTTTCTGAGGCTGGAAACAGACATTGAAGCGCGAGTTAGTACGCACTCTGGCCTTTCACTAGCAGGCACTGCTAAGCAGCGTATCTCTACTACAGTGCCCAGTAGTCGCAGCCAGCTCATGTCCCAACTAATGCCACTATTGCTACCTCACTCCACTTTGTCCCCAAGTTTCCCTTATTTTGGAAAATATGAAACACTTAAAAGTTAAGTCATCCTTAATTTTTCATATTCCTCCACCTCCAATGTGTCCTTTTGGCTCTACTGCTAAAATACATCCCACACTTGCTCAACTCTCTCCATTTCCTATACCCCATTGTCATCAGGTCGATCCTGGCTCACAGTGACCCTGAAGGACAGAGTAGAACAGCCTTACAGGGTTTCTGAGGTTGTCAATCTTTATGGAAACAGACTGCTGCTACGTCTTTCTCCTGCGGAGCAGCTGGTAGGATTGCAATGCCGATCTTTTGGTTAGAAGTCATGGACTTTAACCACTGAACCATCAGGACTTCATGCATCTCC